AATTTTTACCACATAAAACCCCCCATAAAACACTGTTCCCATGATCCGATCATGCTGGATCGCGAACTCATTCAAGTTTATTCCGCCTTACACCTTCAAACCAAATTTCATCAAAATCGGATAAAAATTACTCAAGTTATCGTGTTCACGGACACATATATATATATATATAAATCTATATATATATATATATATATATATATATATATATATATACAAATACAAATACAAATATAAAAATTTGAACGAATGGTGTTTTTGGCCTCTGGGGACACCAAAATGAAAAAGTAAATCGGTCCCGGGTCTTACCATGAGACCTACGGTAATAGCTACTTCCCTATAGGGAAATTCGCTAAAACTAATTTATTTAAATAGTTTGTTGGGGCTTTTGTGAAATAAATGTAAACAGAAGAATACTTAATGAATAAAACGTTGAAACACTTCATATGCCTGTTCGAGCAAAAAATGTATACTGTATGTATGTATAATGTAAAATCCAAATTCTGAAATGCATAACAAACCACTAGTTTTATGTTAACTAAAGTATTAAAATTTAATAAATAAAAATACGACAATGTCATGACCAGCGTCAAGAACATCGTCTTATTGGTGAATCAGATATAAGTTAATGAAAACAACGAAATTAATTTCCTTAATTTTGAAGATTAAATAGCTTTAATGATTTCATATATTTAACTTTTAACAAATTCCATTATCAAAACTCACATCTTCATGGCATTCATACATTTAAGACACTCAAATTACATTTAAATCAAACTCAAAAAAGTTTGTAGCATACACATCCTACATTAGCTGTAAGTATATTTTGAACATAACATATCCTACCAAATTATAATATTCAACAATTCTATTCTAGTGACGCAGTAAGTCTTCCGAAGTTCATAACCAAGGTCAAGCAAGATGTATAGGCAGTAAACACACTACAAAGATATGTGGCCCTAGTCTACTTCCCTGCGGAACTCCACGTGTAGATAGCGTAATGTATGCAGATGATGCAACAAGTATGCAACTGCATAACGTGACATCTTCATCATTATACTGCGGGATAATATTATTGAATAATTCAATAATTTATAGTATGCACACGCTATAAATTATCGCATATGTGCGATAGTTATAGTTATCGCATTCTGCAACTACTTTACCTACATTTCAAAATCGTTATTTCAAAAATAGGAAGGAATAACTGCGTTTAAGGAGTTATGAAGCAGCATTTTGAGGTTATGGAACAAACTTCAACTTAACAAAAGTTAAACGTAATAATGATTTAAAATGTTGAAAACGGACTAATAAATGGTAGGCTTAAAAATCATGCACTACAATTAATATGGATTTCAACAAGATGTTATGCGAATTGCGCAAGAAGTTTTCCAATTAGACGATAAAGAGTATATTTCATTACTAATTCATCTTATAAAACGTACTGAGTTTGTGGAATACTTATTTTTCTGAAAGATGTGTTAACATTTTTGTCTTATTGAATATTATTTTTTTTCTTACAGCTCCAGCTTTTTTGGGAATCAACAACTGAACATTTTGGAATAAAAACTAGAAAGTTAAATTCGTTTTTAAGATTTTTTGCTATGTGCTAGATTAAAATATTTAAGAGGGGAGAGTATACTAAAGCCCATTCGTAATGATTTTAAATACAAAAAAATTAACCTTGAAATTATTTTCATAGCAATAACTATTTTTAAAACCCTTTTTCTCAGCTCGTGTGCATCGTAGGGGAAATCTACGCATACTGTTAGCAAGATATTTTCCTGTAGTTGTGCAGAATCCCTTTATAAATTAAAATAGGCTCAAAAATAAACACAAAAAATTAATTTAAATTAAAAAAAAATTAGCATGGGGCTTATAGGTTGCTATGCTGGTGAGAAAATAACAACGAAATATAAACAGAAAATCAAAACAAATGGAAGAAACTCCAATCACATGTTTATTTACAGCGTGGGATAAAAAGAGAAGTCTGTACATTAGATTTTTTTAAGTTTTCGACCACTGGGTGACCTTGACACCTTTTTCACATTTATTTGAGAGGTTATTAATTGTATTTGGGAATCATTACTTGTATGTTTTTTTATTAATTAAAAACTAACCTAACTCAAGTATTTGTATTTCAACGTTCCTATAATTAGTCTATTGAAAAGCTGTTCCTCTAGAGGTAAAAAATTACTGATTAACATAAAACGTTTATGACAACGATATCCAAAACTAAAATTATTCATTATAATAAAATAATGACAAGTTTAAATTTAAGAAATTGAATAAATTACATCCGTCTTTTTACATTGGTGTAATGAAAATTACAGGAGAATTTATTTATTACATTTTAGACTTAAGCCCTCTGTTTCAATCATGGAAGGGAGGAAGGACCTGTAACGGACTAAGAGGGTTACGTGACTTCCCATGATTTATAGCTACATCTGTGTTGGTATTTATGATACTTTGGTTTCCGTCGATAGGAGTCAATATTTATTCAAGACAGAGTCACCCAAGTTTCCCCCAGTTATCGTCGTATGTCTTATTGTTAATCCTTGTCATAGAGTCGAATCATAAAATCATAACCGAGCTTGAGGTTGGCTTTAAATTATTTATGAGTGCGAGAATGCTGCATGTGGAGTTTTGATATAAGTTAACAGCCCAACTTAGGAAAATTCTATAATGAGTCAGGACAAAGCGAAAATACAGAATTAGGTTTCCTCCAAAAACGGATTCTGTGACACCGATTTTGCTTGTATTTCGCTTATAACTAAAAAACAGTGCATCCCACAAAAAAGTGTATGGATACTTTTAAACAGAACATTCAATTCCGCGTCGATTGACGTTCGAATCCTTAAAATAAATTCTGTTGTTCTGCTACAACAGGTCGTTAAAGTTCAGTAATTTTAACCGAAAACTATAGCATACACTGCCGTCTGGCGGAACACGATGTAATCATCAAGAATATGAAGAAAAGGAGAATGTTAAAAATACTGAACTTGACGACATGTTGTAGCAGAACCACTGAACCGAATGTATGTTCTTTAGAAAAGTATGTATACATTTTTTTGGGGATTCACTGTTTTTTTTTTTTTTTTTTTTTTTTTTAGTTATAAGCGAAAAACTAAAAATGAGCAAAATCGGCATAGTTTTGTTCTCCCATACACTTAGCTCACTTCTGGATCCGTCGCAAACTCATTTTTAACTTATTTAGGATCACCAGAGCAGATTGAAGCGATTTCCAGCTTTCCCCAAATTTTAAGGAGGTACAGCTCTTTTTGGGCTGATTTTCCTGGGCCCAAGTATACGTAAAGCACCTTTTTTTTTTAGAAGAAAGGCACGTTACATCTTGCAAATAATTTGTTTAATGTGTTTATAGAAGTCACTTTCATAAATTTTTATATTTACGTCAAACCCTAGAACTTGATTTTGATGGCCAAAACAGATTTCTAAACGAAAAACAAAAAAACTGTACCTTACAAGCACAAAGTTTGCATAGCTAAATTTTATAATTTTTTATAAATTTAGGGGAAGGAATTGTTGCTGTGAAATCTGTGAACACTATGTTGAGAGATCTTTGACTCGACTTTGTTTCCTGCATAGCTAAATGATATTTAAAATAAGTTTATTTAAAATAGTATTTAAGTATTTAAAATAGTTATTAAACAAACTACTGCGGTAAAAAAGTAAACAAAAAAAAAACAAAAACTATTTTGTCTAACCTTATAGTATTGAGTCAGCAAAACAGAAATACTTTTAAATATTATCTTTTTATTTTCGTTGGACCCCAAAAAATATTTTTTGCCTACTTTTAGTGTGAATACCCTCAAACTGGGAACACATTTTTGCATGAGAAGGGAGATAGGATTGTGTATGTTAAGGCTCTGGAGGGGTGTTGGGGGAGGGGGTTGTACCAAGTCGAGATAGGGGTAGCACGCGAGAATACCCTAAAACATATCGACTACACAAATGGTAAATAAAATCATGCCTCGTCACATGGAACGCTCGTTCCAGTTCATATAATGCAGCTTTTCAAACATAAAACTTAAATTTTAAAAGAAAGTCATCATGTGAAAATGTCGACTAAATGTGCGGGTTTTATCCCATTACATCACTAGCTTGTCGATCAAAACAAGGAAATAGTATAAATAATATTGTTTATAAGCTTCTTTATTCAGTTACTCTTTTCTTTTTCACGTTCGGATTTTATTCCACCATGAAACCTTAACTCATTCGTGTCAGCGCAAAAGTATCTACTTATAACCATGAGAAATTTGCATTAAGGCTCAGCCTCCTGATGGTAAATGGTTATCTTACCAACTGTCTGGTTGGTAAGTACTAAGCACAAGATCTAACTAAGAACTAAGAACTAACTACTACTACTACTACTGAATGAACCAGGTTAGTAGTACTATAGAGTTGTAACCATTATTTTATCATCTGACGAGGTCACGTGTAACGTATTGTACTGCTATAAGCGACAATATGTGGATCGGAAAGTATAACTACAAATCCAAAACTACTAGGGCACTAATTTGGACGACTAGAAAATAGCTGTGCTGCATCACTAAAACGTCATATTTCGAGTTTCCAGAAGATTATAAGGTTGTGATGATTCACAAGAACATAAGAAAGCCATTACTCATGTTTAAGGAGATTAAAACAATTTTATTAATGGGCCTTCACAAAGTCAATCCACATAAAATACTACACTTGGTTTGAATTTAGGATGGTGTTTTTTTTGTTAGTTATTTATCTTAGCTCAAGCTGAAGTTTCATTTTTATTTGGACACGCCTTAATTACAAAGAATATTTCAAAAACTGAAACTCGTTTGTTCAAATTTACAACTAATTTCTTAATTTTAAGTTAATTTTGCTAAGCCTTTACTAGTCGATGTTTTGCATAACATTGTAAACATCTTTGTTGCGGGAAACTAAAAAATACGTATAAATAATACACACATAAACAGTTTCCCAAAAGAGAATATCTAACGTACCGAGTCAGCCCGCATCCTGATCTCCTTGCCCGCGGCCGCCAGTAGCACTCGCAGTATGGAGGTGGCGGTGCCCGTTTGTCTGCTAGCCACCAAGTGTACTGCTGTTTGCTGTCTGGCCTGGACATACAGTTTATTTTGTTGGTAAATTAAATCTCAAATAATAAATTATTTTAAAATACAAAAACTATTTTTCCATTTTAACCACTAAAATGTAAAATCATAACGATGGGGGTTTGCAATCATACACTCACTAATAGAGCACATTGACATTAAAAAGGGTTAATTATATTTATAGAGAAAGAGAGAGTATCAATAATGCTAGTGATATACTTTGGGAGCTGATTATAATAATGTTAATTGTTAAATTAATGAATTGTAAGTTGTTCTTAAAAAAAAAACGTCCACTCTTAATAATACTTAATACTTTCTTACTCTGATATATTGGTAAACCCTCTTAACTTTCTTCAAAATTAAAAGTTAATGACAATTTACGAAAAAAACATACGAAAAGCATACGAAGAAAAAGTGTATTTTTGGTTTAGAAATAATGTTTCTGTTCTTTTTATGTATTAATTAAACTATTTTAATCAAATAATCAATTTTCTGAATGTTCAGTAGCAGAAATTTGCTTAAATAGTAGGTCTATTCACCTAGTAAAAGTTAAATTTCTTTGTGGCGAAACTTGATTGGATTACCATGTGGGTAAGCTCATCACTGAAGACGCACATTTTTCCCTAGCTATATTTATTTTCTAGTTTTGATTACTCTTGTAAACATTCGTATTGTATGCTTAATGCTACAATGTTACAATGTTGTCATATGCCGGTTTGTATCATTGTAAAATAAAATAAATAAATTGAAAAGTGCAGTTATGATTCACAATCACCTATTTTTACTGATTAATGAAATGAATAAACCACTGATTAATGAAATAATTTCCTATACCTGCTCTAATAAGCTTGTATAGGGAAATAAAACATGTCTTAAAGTTATAGGATATTAGAGATTTTGTAACAGGAATAAAATTACTGGATCGGTAGATCATGCTCAGGCTCGTGCTTAGTCACTTTTCAGCATATGGCACCCAGAGGAGCTCGACAATCGGTCCTGAAGACCGTTTTACCAGCAAGTCTTCCTAACACTTAAGGCTCCTTTTATTCTGCCGCTCTCTCTATGAGCCTCTTTTTAATCGCTGAAGATGTTTTTATTCATACAACCCATATTGTCCTGCTGCTACTTAACTAATCTTTATTTTATTGTCTAATCTGTTTTGCAATTCTGACCACCCTGTATATTAACTCACCCCTCCCGGAGCGTAGACGTCCACCCCCTTCTTGTTGAGAAGAACTTTGACAACATCTTCCCTGGAGAACATGGACGAGATGTGCAGCGCATTGTAGTTGTCCTGTGAATAACAAAGATTTAAATATCATTAGCATACTAGAGGATGCAGTTCAGTCAACTATTTTGAGCTTTAGCCATGGTTTGAATGACAGTATTGTTGCAAATGTCTTTTTAGCACGGAGCTACCCACAATACCAACTACTCTAAGAGAAATGATCCATTGTAATATTTATTGAAGTATGTTGTAAGAGGAAGCTTTTAAAGTTAAAATTTTTTGAAATATTGATTAAACTCAGTTGCTTAGAATTAACAGTTGGGTGCATCAAACCTTCCTACGTATTAATTCTGTAGTTAAAAGGAATTAACACTAATATTACTCCTAATATAATTAAGAATTTAACACACTCACTACCAGGTGGCAAAATACCATACAGAGGGGTTTGACGGCTGGGAGGGAATGTGTTAATGATTTACACATGTTATCAAGTTAAAATCGTCAAGCTACAAAAGACATAAATAATATGTGTTAACTTAAAGGAGATGAAAACTACACATCACGCAAAGGCAGTTAAATAGAAAGACACTTGGTCATATAACCATAAATAAAAGCAGTTATTACCATAAATATAATGTTAAAGCTAGGGGTATTACAGATAAATTATCGAAGGACGATCATAAATAATTTAAAATTGCTAGACCAACTTTAACACCTTCATATTTCTTCCCAGATATACTGATATTCAAATAATATTTCAGTTTTTTAAACTCGCTTATATGTAATAAAAATGCTATATTTGAGTTACATCAAAGCTAAAATAATCAGAGCATCCTTGTTATGTGACTGAGCTTATTTTACAATAAAAGTGTGCTAAAACAGTTTTAACTTCTATACAAAAGTAGGGGATGTGTTTATAGTTGAATCATAAAATTATGTTTATTGGCAAACATTACGATAGTTTGTACCCACAATTGTTATCGAGTTCACTGAACTATACAAAATTATGTTTACGATAATCACACTGAAACCCAAGTTTTCTCAAAGACTGATCATTGTCCTCACGCGAAAAAAATGAATCACTGATCTTCAATTACTCTCTGGAAAGTTTCTCATCAAAAAAAGTGCTTGAAATCGCGGAGTTCCTCTACCAATAACCCTTATTTGATTCTAGCAGTCAATGGAATCGCCGACCTAATTTTACGAATTCTGTAATGCAATCATAACTACATAACAAGTGATTTTCATGCTACGACGCCTTTACACGAGTTTAAACAAATTTGAAAACTTATGAGCTGCCTGTCTTGTTTTGCAATTGGTATTGCAATTGGTTTTGCAATAGGCTTTCCAGTAGATGCACTTGAAACAGTGAGGGACGTATCATCTGCAAATAGGCAAGTCTTAGACGAGCTGACACTTTTAGGTAGGCTGAATGAAGATAAGGAACAACGTGGGACCCAAGACGGACCCTTGGGGCACTCTCCTCTCTTGGTCAGAGCTGTAGGTGAAGCATTTCGTTTCAGATAACCATCCACATCAACGTTGGGTATGGAAACAAACTGTTTTCTTTCCGTCAAATAGGACTTGCCATTACACATAAAGAGGGTTCCTCATAAATATAAAAAAATCCTGTGAGTTCCTGTGTAACATACGATAAGCTACTGTATTTAGATAGAAGTACTGTATTTAGATGCTAAAATCACTTTAATCTCCTCCGTTTTGTATAATCTACTTTTGATAAGCCACTCGCTGGGGGTGTTGTGACACATATAGAGGGTGAAGATTATTTTCGGGTGATTATGTAACGGGGACGGGTCAAGGTGGTGACGTCACGCAATACTGCCATTATGACGTCATTGTGGGTCGATCGAGACGTGAGGCTAGGTTGAGTCCGTTGAGTCACGCCGGTCAAGAAACTGATTCAACACCACGTCAACACGTCGTGCTGCATTCGATCAATAATAGCACATAGTCAAATGCAAAGGTTTGGGCCGTCTTACGTGAACTGGTATGGTAGGGAGCAATTATAAGGTTTCAACAGATTGGTTGGGGTTTTTAGTATGGAAGATGACGTTTAAAAATAATTTATGTACCCTAGTGTTTGATTTCAACCAACTTTTCAGGTTCCACTCAGGCGAGCGGATCGTGTAATTTGCGCCAAAGAGTTACTCAATTGCGCCAAGCCCTCAAAGGGTCCCAAAAAATGTGCCTTAGTTGCACCAACCCCAAACTAGGTAGGGGTGAGTTGCCGGCAGTGTCCTTGTTTACATGTCATCTAACCTAACCTAACGTACTCAACTATACATTCAAAGAGGGCCGCCAAGTAAGTTAATGACATATCGGGTGGCTCCCTGGAGTAGATGGCGCAATTCAGGAATACCCAACTACCTGACTCAGGTCAGTTTGCGCAATTAATGCCAACCCGAGAAGAAAATGTGGCACTGCGGTAGAGAGCGTTAAATCGGTCCCCGAGGTTCAGTGCTCAAGTCCCACCAATCACCAATGTGTTATCTAGTGTTTAGGTCACTGCGCTCTAGTGCTAATCTGAAGTAGTGCTAGTCGTGAAGTGGGTTAACGGTTCCGGACTGTGACCTGGGACCATTCTATATTTTATTACAAAAGGCTTGCTTCGAAACCTTAAAGGGAAAATGTCAAACAATGAAAATGTGAACATTTCGATGTCATTTTAGGAAGTCTGTATAATGTATACTCAAGCGGCCTAGTGGTTTTTGCGTGATGATAGGATATAGGTTATACTCACTTGAAAAAAAAGCTGTACAATGGTGTAGAGAAAGCAAAATAGATTCAACTAAAGAAAAAAATATCACAGAGTCTAAATAATTCAAATAAACCCAGAGGTCGTGCTGAGAGTAGATCTACGACAATAATTCACCTACGTACTAGGCATTTTTATACCTTGGGGTAAAAAATAACAATTTACTTTTAAGCTTTTCAGAAAACAATTACACAACTCAAGAAGTAAAGTTAGCTAATGGGAATTGTAGCAATTATATGACTTTGCGTGACAACAACATGAATGATATTGAAGTCTGGATTGAAATCCGATAAGAATAGGTGAAGTTGTAGAAATAACGAGTGCAGCGTTATCAAAGGTCAAGATCACGTGACTGATAAACGCTGCTTATGACTTCCAGCTGGAAACGATGGTAGATTATGTAAAACTGCATTGCGTCATGCACTTACTAACTAGCCTACACTACACTTCAAATAATGTCCTACTTCCTACCACATTGTTCCTAGAATTGTGTGTAAAATAAATTCAACATTTTGGTTGAGAGTTGTGAAATATAAGATCATGGATTAAACCAGAGAATAAAGAGTAGGCAATTAAATATACCTCCTGCAGGTTTATCACGATTATGAGCTAGCTGAAGATAATTTTAAGGTATGTTTCTGCGCGGTGTATGTAAGGTGATTACCAATTATTAGTGTTTTCTTGTTATTCTACCAACTTAAAGTCTTTTATTACAAAACATACCCATTATTTGTAAACTGATGATTACCCTCTTGTATTATTTCAAAAGATTGTACATTGTATAAAAAAAAAAACAAAAAAGATGTCTTACAAAAAAATTATAGCGCACGCTGTAAGTATAACACTAAAACAAGGAAAAAGGATTTAGTGGGCATTAACGCACCCGAATGTTACTGGTGATGAAAGCATTTACAATGATTCAACATTTTATCGAAGTTTTTACAACAATTTAAAGATTCTTTCTAAAATATAAATAGACAAGTTAACATGGTATAAGATAACACGTCGAGACACAGTAAGCTGAGACATCATTGCACTCCTCCATCCAATATTGTTTCCTCTAATCTATACCAATATTCATCATATCACATATACTCTGATAAATATATCTTTAGTTAACTTCGCCGGTAGCAATCCAGTTACAATATAGCTTGGAATTTGTAAATGTTATCGTTGATAAAGTTTGTAGGTATGAATTATATAAGAGTGAAATCTTCCTTGAATAGCGGGTTTATCAAATTGAGTATTGAAAGATTATTTTTAATAAAATTCAATGGATGAGTTATAGCGCCTTGATTATGAAACACTTATTTCAGGATATTTAGCTAATTTCCCATATAGAGAAAACGCTATTACTGTTTGCACGCTGGTCACACCTTGACCCAGGACTGATTTTTTTTCGTTTAAAGGCCCCCAGAGGCCTAAAAACCTTCCGTTCATATTCATTAAACCTGTTTTTTTTTTCGATAGGAAATAAATCTGACATTAAGGGAGTATTTTTATGAAAATACAATCAGGAAATGGCAATTCTCTTAGTCTGCAGGATTGCTGCAATGGGGATATATATTTCAGATTTTACTCTGTAAAGAAGTACATAGTAGGAAATTGAAAAATAATTAGCAAAATAACATTGAAAAATGTCAATGAAATTAAGGTAAATCAGACTTTTAATACTGTAAAACAAAACAAAGTCAAAGAAACTATACAGGTAGTTTTAACGGTTCGCATAAGTAACAAACCATTTTGTGAATAATAAGTTTGTATTACAAAGTTTGGATGAAAATCAAACAACTTTCAAGCTGATAAAAGGTAGGTACAAACTTATTTAATACAAGAAGGTAGTAAACGCGGATGAAATAACAGGTAGTGGCGACAGTCGGGGTTCAGTTTAGTTTAGTCATGTCAATAACAATGCAGTCAAACTTTGTCCATCAAAAGTAACGGCGAATACTGCGACTCTGCTTCACTTAACTGTTATACAACGTTTAGGAGGAGTTTTGTAAATTAAATCTCAAATCCATAGTCTCATATAGAAGACTAATTTTACAATGTATTGATGAGCAACAGTGTATCTAGGCCAATATACGAACAAATATTCCAATTATGAATTAAAATAATTATTTCATACATTAGGATCTTGAATTATGACCATCTTGTAGCATAAAATGCCTTTTGAAACCTCTTAAATATTGTTACATCCTACTTAAAAAGTTTAAATACCCGATATGCAGAGTTCAAAGTCGACATCTAAAGGGGAATATGCCTAGTAATTAGTAGGTAAATTAATGTC